CCAAAATCCAGGTGATCCTCCGCACTGAGAAAGGACAGCTGCACACCTACGATGTCAAACCCGACGAGGCTGTGTCCGCCTTCAAGACCAGAGTGCATCGCAGAGAGGGAGTTCCTGTGAGCCAGCAGAGACTCATCCACCAGGGCCGGGAGATGATGGAGGGGACTCTGGCGGACTACAGCGTCCGGGAGATGAGCACCATCGACATGACTATGCGCCTGAGAGGAGGCTGAGGACACCTGACACGGTTCATCTGCCACAAAAAACGCACATGTACATGTGCCTTTATGATTACCAGTCAAACCGGAGATCAAACAGCATTATAGGCTTTTTACAAAATTTATTTATTAATACTTTTATTTTGAAATCAATACATTCCTCCTTGTGTAATTCTGTATTAAGAAGTTTAGTTTTGGTCGTACAAATGCACACAACATGGCATGTTGGAATTTTTTTATGACAAATACAAAAAAAATAAAGTCTCTAGACTTTATAAAACGTCTTGTTGTCTTCTTTTAATGTTTTCTAAAGCACCTTGTAACTAACAAGTTTATTGTTTATCACAAAATGAAAAGAAATGTCACAGTTCCTCATATTTCCAGAACCTTCTGTCAGCTCAGGGGTGGAGCTACATCTTCTACAGTGTGTATTTCAATCTGACATTAATCCAGTGTTAATAAGAGCCCTTTTCAATCACATTATTCAAAGTTTATGATTAGCTCTTTCAAGCTTTTGGCAGTGCTCTGGAAAAAATACATGTACTCAGTTGTTGTGTTGCCACAGGTGCAGTCATGTAGCCAAAGTATTACAGCAGCAAGTTATCATGGCACAAACACGTAAAGAGTTAATCAGAGGAGCTACTGCACGTAGAAGTTATTGCTCAGATTAGGACCAGGTTTACAGTAGCACAGTAACAGCTCGGTCGTATCGTCTCAGTTCTCCGGCAGAAATGCTGAAATCTCTGATGGCATCATTTCCTCACAGATGCGAGGTAGGCATACCAAAATAAGGCCACCATGTTGGCGAACAGCACTCGCAGCTGAAAACAAAAACAGACACAGGAACACATAGAGACAGGAAGAGAATGACAAGTGGTGTCAAAGGGTGACTCATTGTTTGTCTGACAGAGGGTGGCAGTAAAGTTCCTACCTGAACAGGCACAAAGTTGATATTTACGAACTGGAAGGGGGTCCAGACTTTCCAGTTCATCTTCAAGGCAGTCCAGTAACTTGCTCTCATCTTCTTTTCGAAATCTTGCCACCCTTTAGCCTGAGGACAGTTGAGAATAATTCTATTTTTTACCTATTTATCTATATTAAAAGGATGCTGCACAAGCTGCTCAATATAATGGAGATTGTGACACAACCTACTGGCCAGACCACAAAGTGTCTGAGCAGGAGAAGAGCAGTATCCATTTACAATGACTCCTCTGTGTCAGGACAGGAGACTCTGCTCATGCCCATTTCATTCACTTTATATTCAGTTTTGCATCCATCCGTCTATCTAATTCTTCATGCTTTGTCTAGAGTGTGTTAAATATTGCTTTTAATACATAAAGGCAGGCCACTAAACACTATGTTAAAATAGACAGCTTGGCAAATTTACACATCAAAATCAGTTTACTACTCATGACAACAGCTACTTGAATAACAGAAGGAAATAAGAGGCGACCATTTTGATACACGTTTTTTTTTTTTTTGCACTTTTTTGAGAAAAAATAGAAAAACGATGCCAAATATTCTCTGATTCTTGCCGCTCAACATTTTCGGATATTTGGAGTTTTGTTAAAACAAAACAGGCCCTGTGAAGTTGTGATGGGGATCTTCTGGATTTCAAAGACAAGTCAATGTATAAAATAAATAAATAAATAAATAAATAAAAATTCTGATTAACCCATGTTAAAGATAAGCATTCATGTCATTGCACAGTACTGGTCAAATGTTTGGACACATCTATGATACTGAAGCTGGTTAAGACAATACCAGTAGTGTGCAAAGCTGTCATCAAGGCAAAGTGGATTTTAGCTAGAAATGTAAAATATGAAACACATTTTGCTTAGTGGGCTGCAAGGTAAGAAGTAGCAAGAAGGTCGCGGGTTCGCGTCCCGATGAGGATACCCGGGATCTTTCTGTGTGGAGTTTGCATGTTCTCCCCGTGCAGTGGGGGTTCTTCCTCCCACACAGTCCAAAAACATGTTGAGGTTAATTGGTGATTCTAAATTGTCTGTAGGTGTGAATGTGAGTGTGCTTGGTTGTCTGTCTCTAAGTGTAGCCCTGTGATAAACTGGTGACCTGTCCAGGCCTGAGTCAGCTGGGATAGACTCCAGCCCCCTGTGATCCTAGTGAGGATTAAGCGGTGTATAGATAATGGATGGATGGATGGATTGTGCTTTGTTTACACTTTTTGTTGTTGTTGAATTGACAATTCCACGTGTTATTTCACAGTTTTGACATCTTCACTGTTGTTCTACAGTATAGAACGTAGTTAAAAACAGAGAAAAAGCCTGGCATGAGAGGCTGTGTCTAAACGTTTGAGTGGTACTGTGTGATTCAGGGTATCGCAAATTTGATCATTCTTATGGTAAAATCTGTTTCCCCCAACTTTAAGGAAGTGTGATATCCCATCGCTGTTGTCCTCCTTTAATGAGATGATGTGGAGGGACAGGTTTCTGAGACCACCTACCTCCAGGATGTTCATAACAAAGTAGAAAATGAGCAGAAAGCCTGGGGCGAAAATCAGCCGATCCAGTAGCAGGCGCTTCACTATACACAACGGGTCTGTGGTGGGCATCCACACCTCCATCAGCTGGTAAAAGTAATGGCTCACTGGTCCTGTAATGAGCAGCCTGAAAGGCAACAAGGAGTGATGTGACCGCCAAATATATATATATATAAATACATGGGTTACTTTAAATGAGTTGCCAACAGCTCACATGTAAAGGTGAGGTCAATGTGAACATACAGGACAAAGAAAACATCAGGGAGCAACATGCTGTTTTATGCAGAAACTTTGCTATTATTGAGAGTTATTTATTATTTATTGCTGAGAGTGCAATAAACTACAGGAGTTCTGCCCTGTAGTGTGACATCTAAGTTGAACAGTCGGGTATTCTGTGAAATTAAAAACTAATCAGAGCAAGTTTCATCACTAAGATGTACATTTTTAATTGAATACTTTGTATGCACATCTATATTATTGATGTTGGACTTATTCCTCCTCAGCATGGAAGATAAAAGTAGAATCTGATTTCCACTGATCTCTCCTGTACCAAGTCTGAAGCACATCTGTTTTCCAGAGGTATGTTGTTTAGTAAAATTGAAGTAATATTGTGGGTAAACCTCAGAAGTCTCTGACCCAAATATGGACTGAAAGGACGAGGACAAAAGCTAGGAGAATCAGATAGCTCCCATCTTCTTTTTAACAGGCTTTAATTCAATTTTGTTAGTATAGCGCAGGGGGGAAGGGGAGGGGGAAAAAAAACTCCGGCAAAACCAGGCACAGGGAAGGTGGCCATCTGCCTCGACTGGATTGACCTGTTTGAACTTCTGAAGTATGGGAGGCCCTACAGAACCCCTCTGGCTAAAGGTATGTCTAAGAAGTCTTTCATCCCAAATGCCACTGGCCTTCTCAATTTAACAAAGTGATCAACCCACATATAACCTGAACATGAACTGCTATTTTACTGTATTATTCTGTTATATTGTTCTGCTGTAAGCTACATATACTATGTATTGCTGTGTGTCTATATGTATGTCATGCTGATCTTCTGTGCTGCTGAGCTGAAGACAATAAAGTTTTATTCTATTCTAACTAGCGAGCTGTCTGTGGCTCCAAGTACTATGGCTTGTTCCTTACCTCCTCATTACTAATGCAACTGTGTTCCCACTGATTTTCAGTTTGTCAGCCGTCCTCCCATATCTTTTTTTTTTGGCATCTTTGTTAAATTTCACAATCAGATTTGATTTCCTCTTGCAACACTTTTCCCTGTGGTGCCTTGATGCAAAAACGCAAATAGACACAGTTCACTGGTCCAAAACTGAGAACGTTCTGGTGCTCACTGGTAGTTTTACAAACATGTTCATGCAGTTAAGCTATTAGGAAAAGTTAGTTGTACTCAGTTTTGTTTTGGCGTTTACAGATTTTCTAACTTGTGTGTCAGTGATTGCAGGTGTATTCACTTTTGGGGCTGGATTGTCTTAGTGATTGCTCATTAGAGAGAATACTCTACTGGTTAACTGAAAAGTAATGCAAATATTGAGAGGTGATACAATTTTGACCAGTTTGTCATTTACGTGATACTGCACAGAGGTGCATTAACTTCTGTTGTATACTGTAATCATTTTGCATCAAGGTAAACACATTTTCCCCTATCTCATTCTCTAGTCACACAATCCTACAATCATTTTCTAGTAGCCTTGAAACCACATCACTTGTCTTTTTTAAAAATAGATGTAATTCTAAATTGAATCTCACCCAAAAATGGCATAGCGTGCAGCTCCAGCCACATCCACCTCATTAACCGGGGTTCCATGTTTGGCCTTTTTTCTTGCCTCCAAAGTCTGAGACAGAAGATTTCCTAAAGCTGAGAGGATGCCACTGGAAAAAAAAAGGACACACACACACACACACATACAAACAAAACTCTGTCAATATGCAGCAGCTACAGACAGCATTAAAGTAGACTGAGGTTGTCTGAGGGGAGGTCCTCCTGGTAGATGCTGATTGGTTAAAGACAGAGCCCAGTGACAAAAGGCCAGTGTGTGGTCAGTGCAAACAAAGTGGGAAAAAAACATGCAAACAACAACAAAACAACTGTTGGAAATAGCTCTATTGGTTACAGTATACAAAAACGACTTATTAAACTTCACTTCAGTGGACTGACTTTGTGTGTCAGCAAGTAAAAACCTGTAATTCTTGACGTATAAAGTGACACGACAGCAGAGAAGCAGCAGTCAAGTGAGGAGCACATCTACCGACCTGGTGACGGCCTTGGTGAGTATCGGGTATTTCTTCAGAAGCACCAGGTACTGCTGGAGTAAGCGGTAATGTAAGGACACGTCCCGGACAGGACGACTCGCCACAGGCATCGTCTCTTTGTCACTTGTTTGGCTGTACAAACATCACCGATCTGACAGGGGCGAGCAGGAGCCCCGCCACGCTTCCTGCCGACGTCATTACGTCACTGGTGGAGCCACGCCTTTACGTCAACGTCGAAAACCTACTACTAATAATAATATTAGTTTTAAGCAATATTAAATACCTAAAAATTATAGAAATAAGGAAATACATTTGTAGATAAATGTAGTAACTAAAACATTTTTTATTTTATTTTAAAGAGGACATTTTTCAGTGGGCTGCCTTCATTTATTTCAGGGGACTATTCTAATACCTAATTTATTTGTTTTTGCTTTTATTCCATATCCATGTTTTTGAACATAATATAAATATTTATATATTATTTAATTAACTAGAATAAAACAGCATTTCATGATAAACACATTTTATCATTACGAATATAATGACTAATATTATTAATCCAAAGAGACAATAATTATCAGAGCTAGCACAGAAAGAAAAATAAGCATTTAAAACAATACATGATCGGACCTATAAACTAATATTTTGTTGAGCCAATCACTGCAATCCAGTGTTTTCTGTAACTCTCAATCAGACTTCTGCACCTGTTGACAGGTATTTTGATTTTTGGCCCACTGCTTATCAGCAAAGTGCTCTAATTTGTCCAGGACAGCAGTTTTTTTTTTTTTTTTTTTAAACTATTCTTTTTTACCACAATTCCAAAGCAATGTCTTATTTCACTACATTAGAATTTATCAAATTTCTATTTATTATTACTTTTTTCAGTTTCTAGTTATTTCTGTGACTATTGTGAGTTTTGCCTTTCCTTTAATGGAAGGGTATGAATACATTTGAGGATGACTGTATTTACCAGGTTTTATCCAGATGGTCTAAAGGTGATACGTAACCTGCTTCACACAGGGACCATTTCTGCCAAAATGATGGGATTCTAGGGGCTGATTAATAAAGAAGTTACAAGCATATTATATCAGATTAAATAAATGGCAAATGAAAGGGCTATAACTCTTCTTTCTTTAAAATTATGTACAAATTACCTGAGAAACAGTAACTAAAAAAATAAATAAATCCTAGCATGAATAAATCTGCTCTCCTTCTGAATGAGAAAACAGTCAAAACTCAAAACTTTGAGTAATACTGGTCTAAGCATGGATTGTATAAACAGTATTTGAAACATACTGTATTTTACAGGTACCATACCTTACAGCATATAACAGCATATTGATATTGAAACTACTGTTTCGGGGTTGTTGTTTTTTTTAGATTTTTTTTATGGAGACTGTTTATCAACCACCCTGAAACCCAGCAGTGGCCTGTGTATAGACTGTGTAGACAAGCGGAACACATTTCACATGAGACATTCAGGGACATTAAAACACTACATCCACTGTTTGGAACCACTTTAATGGAACCAACACTTTAGTAAAAAAGTAAAAAAAGGGAAACTTTAATGTGCAAACTAAAAAGGCCTATAGTGTACAAAAACATATTTACAACACTGAAACTGTGAAATGCAGATGATGTAAACATGCATTACAACAGTAAGTTGAGAAAAAAGGCTTTCAAGGATACTTGTACAGAACAAACATGAGCCAACATGAACGCTTTCACGAAAAAAACACTGAACATAGTACTGTTGAGAACAGAAGAACAAAAGCTTATGGGTGGGTTTTGGTCTGTCAACACAGGTGCTAGAAAAGCTGACATACATGACTCAAAGTGCCTTCCAGTCAATGGGAGACTTTCCAGATTTCTTCAGCAGCTCGTTGGCCTTTGAAAAATGGCCACAGCCGAAAAATCCCCGATGAGCAGACAGTGGAGAAGGATGCACAGTCTGGAGGACGTGGTGGCGTTTCTGAAAACAGAGAGTACGAAAACACATTATAAAATTTACACCAAACGTTAGTGGAAACAGCCACACCAGCAACACAACGCCAGAGCTAAAGGAACACAGGCCTCTCTTAAAGCTACAGAGATAGAAGTGCAAAAATGACCAGAACATACATTTGTCAAAAAGAGAGGAAACATGACAGATCCAGAAGTTCATTATGTCAGAGAGCCACCATCAGAAACAAAATCACCTTAGGCAAGAAACAACATGTAGGTTGTGGTGTCAGAATTACCCAGTGTGTCTGTCAGGCTGTGACGATATGTAAATAGAATAGAATAGAATAGAATATCCTTTATTAGTCCCACAAGGGGAAATTTGCAACGTCACAGCAGCGAAGTGACAGTAAGAAAAACAAGAAAACATGACTTTAAATTAAAGAGGTGAGGTATATACACTATATACAGAACATAAAGAAGAAAAACAGAAGAGCACAAGGATACTAAGAACTAAAGAATATTTACATGAATGAATTGCACTTGAGTTTATTGCACCTGACAGTTGGCTGCCTGTCATTATGTGAGTGATTGTGTGGTCTGTTGGGAGCAGTGCTGATTATAAAGTCTGATACCAGCAGGAAGGAAGGACCTGCAGTAACGCTCCTTCACACACCTGAGGTGACAGTCTGTCACTAAAGATTCCCAGTGCCTTCAGTGTGTCGTGCATGAGGTGGCAGTCACTGTCCAGCAGGGATGTTAGCTTGGCTAAGATCCTCCTGCACTGTGTCCAGAGGGCTCCCCAGGACAGAGCTGGCCTTCTTGATCAGCTGATCAAACTTCCTCCTATCAGCGATAGAGATGCTGCTGCCAGAGCAGACCACTCCTTAGAGGATGGCTGATGCCACCACAGTCATAAAAAGTCCTCAGTAGCGCCCCCCGCACCCCAAAAGACCTCAGTCTCCTGATGTTATTCAGAGGTAAGTCACTTTTGAAGACATTCTAGTGTTTTAGAAGAACATTTTTTACCCTTTTGGTTTAAAGAGAACACTGAAAATGATCTGTGAGGAAGTAGTGGTTGTGGTTGTGTAGTTTTCTTAACCAACAGCCCTCTGATGACCTACAGTAACCCCTAGACTGAAAATATAATTTCAACAGGTTTAGACAGGAAATCTGTCACAGCATTGTAGAGTGTGCACAATCTTAGAGTTGGACAATAAGAAAATTGTGAAATGAGTTGTTTTGGATGGTTACTGTCAGATTTTACAAGTGTGTTTCTGCTTAGGGATTTGCAATAGATTGTGGATTAAAAAGTGTCACTTCCCTTGAAACGCGTACGGTGTAAATGTGAACAAAGGTTTTATGCCGTTCAATATGGAAAGAAGGTAGTTGGTACTAGAATGTATATCCATCCATCCATTTTCTATACACCGCTTAATCCTCAC